TATACAGCAGGTCAGGTTGCAGGCTACTGTAGGGCCTCACTTATACAGCAGGTCAAGTTCCAGGCTACTGTAGGGCCCCACTTATACAGCAGGTCAGGTTCCAGGCTACTGTAGGGCCCCACTTATACAGCAGGTCAGGTTGCAGGCTACTGTAGGGCCTCACTTATACAGCAGGTCAAGTTCCAGGCTACTGTAGAGCCCCATTTATACAGCAGGTTATGTTCCAGGCTGCTGTAGGGCATCACTTATACAGCAGGTCAGGTTCCAGGCTACTGTAGGGCCCCACTTATACAGCAGGTTATGTTCCAGGCTACTGTAGGGCCCCACTTATACAGCAGGTCAGGTTCCAGGCTACTGTAGGGCCCCACTTATACAGCAGGTCAGGTTCCAGGTTACTGTAGGGCCCCACTTATACAGCAGGTCAGGTTCCAGGCTACTGTAGGGCCCCACTTATACAGCAGGTCAGGTTCCAGGCTACTGTAGGGCCCCACTTATACAGCAGGTCAGGTTCCAGGCTACTGTAGGGCCCCACTTATACAGCAGGTCAGGTTCCAGGCTACTGTAGGGCCCCACTTATACAGCAGGTCAGGTTCCAGGTTTACTGTAGGGCCCCACTTATACAGCAGGTCAGGTTCCAGGCTACTGTAGGGCCCCACTTATACAGCAGGTCAGGTTCCAGGCTACTGTAGGGCCCCACTTATACGGCAGGTCAGGTTCCAGGCTACTGTAGGGCCCCACTTATACAGCAGGTCAGGTTCCAGGCTACTGTAGGGCCCCACTTATACAGCAGGTCAGGTTCCAGGCTACTGTAGGGCCCCACTTATACAGCAGGTCAGGTTCCAGGCTACTGTAGGACCCCACTTATACAGCAGGTCAGGTTCCAGGGTACTGTAGGGCCCCACTTATACAGCAGGTCAGGTTCCAGGCTACTGTAGGACCCCACTTATACAGCAGGTCAGGTTCCAGGCTACTGTAGGGCCCCACTTATACAGCAGGTCAGGTTCCAGGTTACTGTAGGGCCCCACTTATACAGCAGGTCAGGTTCCAGGCTACTGTAGGGCCCCACTTATACAGCAGGTCAGGTTCCAGGCTACTGTAGGGCCCCACTTATACAGCAGGTCAGGTTCCAGGCTACTGTAGGACCCCACTTATACAGCAGGTCAGGTTCCAGGCTACTGTAGGGCCCCACTTATACAGCAGGTCAGGTTCCAGGCTACTGTAGGGCCCCACTTATACAGCAGGTCAGGTTCCAGGCTACTGTAGGACCCCGCTTATACAGCAGGTCAGGTTCCAGGCTACTGTAGGGCCCCACTTATACAGCAGGTCAGGTTCCAGGCTACTGTAGGGCCCCACTTATACAGCAGGTCAGGTTCCAGGCTACTGTAGGGCCCCACTTATACAGCAGGTCAGGTTCCAGGCTACTGTAGGGCCCCACTTATACAGCAGGTCAGGTTCCAGGCTACTGTAGGGCCCCACTTATACAGCAGGTCAGGTTCCAGGCTACTGTAGGACCCCACTTATACAGCAGGTCAGGTTCCAGGTTACTGTAGGACCCCACTTATACAGCAGGTCAGGTTCCAGGCTACTGTAGGGCCCCACTTATACAGCAGGTCAGGTTCCAGGCTACTGTAGGGCCCCACTTATACAGCAGGTCAGGTTCCAGGCTGCTGCTGTAATGCAAAAATCGCTGTAAAGTGGAACATAACATTTTTTCACTTTGAAGTGTGATCAAAATCCTGACGTCTTCTCACAATGATATATTAAGTGAGCAATATAACTGGGCATAAAAAATGAAAATACACTACACATATTTCTTACCTTAAAATATTTTTTGTCAGCTTGTAGTGGGTGCTGGATATATTTATTGTAGGAAATCTGAATAAGTTGCTGTGTTAATGAAATGCTGTAAGTGAAGCACTGTGGACCGTGGCACTGTTAAGCAAGGTGCTGTAAAGCGGGGCCTGCCTGTATATATATATTGAGCATGTCTGTTATACGGTCTTAAACTGCTTTGTTCAGGTGTGTGAACTCTTAAAATAACTGATCAGGAACGACGTTTCAGTCCGTGGTGGTGGACCACTGTCAAGTTGGTGAGTTGACAAGGGTCCAACAGGGACCGAAACGTTGTTACAATGTCGGTCTTGTAAATGCAGGTTGTTGAGTGAACTCTCGCAGCCACAGAGTCTTATTAGTCTTTAAAAGACTTATTAATTAGCAGTGGTTTCCCAGAACTTGTCTTGTAGTGGAATAATTAAGATGATTTTAAAGACCTTTTGGCAAGGGAGAGACTTTGTGATATGACGTTTAACTCACAGTGGGATTTTTATCAACGTTAGTGGTGCTAATATCCTCAGTGGTACTAATATCTACTTCAGTGGGGTTCAGATGAACTTCAGTGGGGTTAAAATGAACCTCACTGGGGTTTACGAAATGTCCCATATTTAATAAAATCCCACTATGGGTAAAACGTATTTTTTTTTTTTGGGGGGGGGGAAGGCTTAAATTGACTTTAAAATTCTGTTTTGTTGGGTTACGTCTTGTGTTAAGTCTTCATATCTTAACCGCTGTAGTTAAACAACCATATAAATCCCCTTCACTCTGGCATTATGTTAAAATGCAACTTAATGTTTTCAACAGACAGCTGTGTTAAAATGTTTACTGCAGGGAGAAAACTGTGGTATTTAAATTGGGAAAAATAAAATTTGTTCCAATTTGGATCTCATTTTTTTCGTGCCCGTCATTCACAAACACCAAAATCCAATTTTTTTTTCCCTTTTATGTATCGTTCGTGCCAATGCTTTTGATTCATTAACTTTGTTACTCCCTCCTCTTCTTCTTCCTCCTCTTCCGCCCCACCTCTGTATCCTCTGCCCCTTCGTTACCAACAGCTAACAGAAATGCAACAAAAGACTACACACAAAAGGCCATCTAACATTCTGACTTAAAACCGTTAAATTTTTTACTTTAAAACCGTTAAATTTCCCTCCCCCCTCTTATAGCGGATGGCGCCGTACCCTGTTGGCGCCCTCAGCCCAACGTACATGGCGAATGAGGGTATGAAATTGCATTCCCCGGGGGTTGTGTGTCCCAGGATCAACAGCATCACCCCAGTATGTCACGTGTCTCAGGTTGCTCTCCCTACCTACCTACCTCCACGCGATCTCGGTCTCCGAATCTCCCATAGTTTCCCTCCTCTCTCTGTCTTGGACCTCAGTAGAGCCTGTCTCCTTCAACTGTCTAATCCTTGGACTTCCAGAGCGTGTCCCATCCTATTATAACCTTAAACTCCATATTGTTGCGTCCACTTATCCTTTGGACCTTGAGATCATCTAGGTAGACAATGGCAAAAGTCAACAAGTGGGGAATGAAGATGTTGGTAATAGAGAAGTCTTTCAGAACGACGTTTCACCCAAGGTTGGGCTTTGTCACTTCATGATAAAGTCCTGCCTTCAGTGTAACATTGTATTAAAAGGATTTTCTGCTACCAGTGTCTTTATTTCCACCTCCCTCCCATCTACCTATCCAAAAGCATGTCCAGTCCACCTGTCTAATCTCTGGATCTTTTGAACATGTCCTGTCCACCTCTCCAGTCCTTGGACCTTGAGAGTGTGTTCCACCCCCCCTCTTTCTTCTACATCCCATCCCCCTCAAATGCTTCCATTTGACACTCCTTCTCTAAAAGGTAAAACTTATTCACTCACTCCCCTCTCACTAACTCCTTCCTATTCCAACTTCTCATCTCTTCCATATGTTTTTGCTGCATAATCCATCCTTGCTATAGAGGGCTATTTTTTTTTTTTGTCAAGTCCTGGCTCGCTCTTTCAAACTCAGAAGCACGTGCAGCATACACAGACAAGTTACCCTGGCTTATCAGCCTATACTATTTTACTCAGTATGGGTGTTTCTGGTGATGAAAAGATCCTTTCATCTTCCCTCCTGCCACAGCTTCCACAAACCCACCTATGGTCAATATTATACTGGTGCCACCACTACCATCAATTTACTGCTGCCACCAACCCACTTCTGCTGTCGACTTACCACTGCCACCGACCTACAATTGCCAGTAACCACCACTTCCACAATCCCACTGCTGCCACCAAACTACCATATCTATGATCCCACAGCCACCAAACTACCACTTCCATAATACCACCACAGCCACCAATCCATCACTTCCATGACTACTTCTGCCACCAATCCACTTCCATAATTCCACCGCTGCCACCAATCCACTGCATCTCATGCTTGGCTTTTGTTATGTTAGCTGGTCGCTCTGCCAACAAAGCTGCTCTTCCCTTCCATACTGCCTCATCTCTTCAGTTCTGGGCTTGAGAGACTAGCATGTGTCCCTTTATCCCCAAGTAATAGTAACACACAAAATAAATAATATGAAATAAGAGGTATAAACTAGTTGTTGAGGACATTTGGCACCTCAGATCACAGTAGTCATCATGAAACGTGACACCTTTGGAACGATAGTCTCCGACTTATCAAGATGAGTTTTGCTACTGTTGAAAAACACAGGACTCATATCTGCAAGGCTCGACAAACTGATTTTTTTTTTTGTATTTTTTGACATATTTTTGTCATTTTGTTGTATATATACTTTTATGCTTGTCTCTGATCAGATGTTTAGTATGTTTTTTTGTTTGTGATGACAGCTATTTTTATAATAATGTATGTGTGTTGGTATTTTGCTACACGTAAGCCCTTCAGGAAGCTTTTGATAGGTTAAATAATGCTAGCATGGCACATCCAGTCACCTGTCAGCTCAATAATCCCAATGTAAAAACTAATATAATGAATCTATTAATGTAACAAGGTACATCCAGTCACCTGTCAGCTCAGGAGAATAACTCAAGAGATTAGATCTTACTGAATAACAAAATATAATTAATTCTCTTTAAATTATAATAGTGAGAGGAAACAATGTTTCTTGAATGATACCAGAGGAGTAATATCTAGACTGTTACACTGAACATCTTTGTGTTGTGTTTCAGATGTCCGATGATGACCGGATGTCTCTCACGACGGCGGTAAGTGAAGATGAAGACGGTGAGAGCGTCCACAACTCTCCTTACAAGGCTCCTCGAGCTGGCACTACTGCAGCCTCCTTCAACTGCACCGGCGCGGTCAGGAAGGCTGGGTAAGTACCTCCACACCTCCCTCCAGATTGTATTGTAATTGATGATGCGATCATGCCAGGAGGCTAGGTCTGGGACCGGACCACGGGGGAACCTCGCTGGCCTTCTTGTGCGGTCACTCAACATAGACTGCTGGAGGAGGCCCAGTCCTTCCTTCTCTCTAATCACGACCTACCTTGACCTGTCAGAGTAAGGCTGGTTTATTGTGCACCTCATATCCATCCCGTGCACAATAAACTAGCCTCTTACTCCCTCTCCCTGCTGTTTGAACTCAGAATTTGTTTCTTACGACGCGTGGCTGGACGTCATGGTCCTTTGTATGTAGTGTCTCGTCTGACCACGTTCCTCATTTATAATCTTCGAGAAAGAGAGAGCTAATCTTTGTCTTCTCTTAGTCATTAAGTGCACTCGAACGCCGAAGGTTTCTTAGTTCTCATTTATTTAAGTGGTCGAATTCTTTTATGTTTTGACACACTGGCCGTCTCCCACCGAGGCAGCGTGACCCGAGAAAAAAGAAACTCTTTCAGCATCATGCTTGTCAGAAGAGCAAGTTTTGGTTATGACTACCATTACCTTTGTGAAAATCTTTACACAGGGAGAAACGTTTTCACAGTAACACCTTATTTATGTGCCTTCTACTCCATACTGTCGATATTTCACCCTTGTATGAAGTCGTGACTAGGCTCTGGTTGAGCGAAACGTTGTCTTGAGAAAAGTTTGTTCTTCTCTGGGTGGACTGTCTAGTTCATGTGTATCGCCACACTATCTTTCTACCATCACAATTTTCACAGCAGAATTTTTTATTGTTCTGTGGGTAGTTCCTGATACGTACTCCTGAGATTAACAGAGTTCTATAAGCTTTTATTGAGTCAAATTACGTTTGAGTTACTTTAATCGACTCAAGTTAGGTTTTGATTTGTTTTACTTGACTCATGTTACCTTTTGAGTTGTGTTCATTGACTGCGGGCAGCTGGAGAGTTATCGTCTTTGGGGTTTATTACGTGTTTAAGTGGGAAGCAGAACTCCGTATTTCATTCTGATTACTTTCACGAGATTTAGCCAATGTGAGGGAGAAGTCGAGAGCGTCTTAGTAAGCTCTCACATCCACCACTGCCTCCTCCAGGTCATTCTCAAGGACCTGTCTCCACCACTGCCTCCTCCAGGTCATTCTCAGGGAACTGTCTCCACCACTACCTCCTCCAGGTCATTCTCAAGGACCTGTCTCCACCACTGCCTCCTCCAGGTCATTCTCAAGGACCTGTCTCCACCACTGCCTCCTCCAGGTCATTCTCAGGGAACTGTCTCCACCACTACCTCCTCCAGGTCATTCTCAAGGACATGTCTCCACCACTGCCTCCTCCAGGTCATTCTCAAGGAACTGTCTTTACCACTGCCTAGTTCAGGTCATCCTCAAGGACCTGTTTTCGCCACTGCCTCTACCAGGTCATTTTGAAGGACCTGTCTTCACCACTGCCTCCTCCAGGTCATTCCCAAGGACCTGTCGTCATCACTGTCTCGTATAGGTCATTCTCAATGACCTGTCTTCACTACTGCCTCCTCTAGATCATTCTCAAGGACCTGTCTTCATCACTGCCTCCTCCAGGTCATTCTCAAGGACCTGTCTTCACCACTGCCTCCTCCAGGTCATTCTCAAGGACCTGTCTTCACCACTGCCTCTATCAGGTCATTTTGAAGGACCTGTCTTCACCACTGCCTCCTCCAGGTCATTCTCAAGGACCTGTCTTCATCACTGCCTCCTCCAGGTCATTCTCCAGGACCTGTCTTCATCACTGCCTCCTCCAGGTCATTCTCAAGGAACTGTCTTCACCACTGCCTCCTCCAGATCATTCTCAAGGACCTGTCTTCACCACTGCCTCGTACAGGTCATTCTCAAGGACCTGTCGTCATCACTGCCTCCTCCAGGTCATTCTCAAGGACCTGTCTTCACCACTGCCTCCTCCAGGTCATTCTCAAGGACCTGTCTTCACCACTGCCTCCTCCACGTCATTCTCAAGGACCTGTCTTCACCACTGCCTCCTCCAGGTCATTCTCATGGACCTGTCTTCACCACTGCCTCCTCCACGTCATTCTCAAGGACCTGTCTTCACCACTGCCTCCTCCAGGTCATTCTCAAGGACCTGTCTTCACCACTGCCTCCTCCACGTCATTCTCAAGGACCTGTCGTCATCACTGCCTCCTCCAGGTCATTTTCAAGGACCTGTCTTCACCACTGCCTCCTCCACGTCATTCTCAAGGACCTGTCTTCACCACTGCCTCCTCCAGATCATTCTCAAGGACCTGTCTTCATCACTGCCTCCTCCAGGTCATTCTCAAGGATCTGTCTTCACTGCCTCCTCCAGGTCATTCTCCAGGACCTGTCTTCACCACTGCCTCCTCCAGGTCATTCTCCAGGACCTGTCTTCACCACTGCCTCCTCCACGTCATTCTCAAGGACCTGTCTTCAGCACTGCCTCGCCCAGGTCATTGCGTATGTGAAGCACGCTGAGAGCGAAGACGTTCTTCCTTGAGAACGTGATTGGGAGACCACGTCTGGATTTTATTGCTTCTAGTGGTTAAATTACTAGTTACGATATCGTTCCCGTGATCTTGTATGCTAGATTCAAGCCTTAGAGAAATTGGGAGGTTTGTTAACTTATACACTGTTTACTTGTCGACTGTTGGTGGACACGGACACCTACCGACTGTTGGTGGACACGGACACCTACCTACTGTTGGTGGACACGGACACCTACCAACTGTTGGTGGACACGGACACCTACCAACTGTTGGTGGACACGGACACCTACCGACTGTTGGTGGACACGGACACCTACCGACTGTTGGTGGACACGGACACCTACCGACTGTTGGTGGACACGGACACCTACCGACTGTTGGTGGACACGGACACCTACCAACTGTTGGTGGACACGGACACCTACCGACTGTTGGTGGACACGGACACCTACCTACTGTTGGTGGACACGGACACCTACCAACTGTTGGTGGACACGGACACCTACCAACTGTTGGTGGACACGGACACCTACCGACTGTTGGTGGACACGGACACCTACCGACTGTTGGTGGACACGGACACCTACCAACTGTTGGTGGACACGGACACCTACCGACTGTTGGTGGACACGGACACCTACTGACTGTTGGTGGACACGGACACCTACCAACTGTTGGTGGACACGGACACCTACCGACTGTTGGTGGACACGGACACCTACCGACTGTTGGTGGACACGGACACCTACCGACTGTTGGTGGACACGGACACCTACCAACTGTTGGTGGACACGGACACCTACCAACTGTTGGTGGACACGGACACCTACCGACTGTTGGTGGACACGGACACCTACCGACTGTTGGTGGACACGGACACCTACCAACTGTTGGTGGACACGGACACCTACCGACTGTTGGTGGACACGGACACCTACCAACTGTTGGTGGACACGGACACCTACCGACTGTTGGTGGACACGGACACCTACCGACTGTTGGTGGACACGGACACCTACCAACTGTTGGTGGACACGGACACCTACCAACTGTTGGTGGACACGGACACCTACTGACTGTTGGTGGACACGGACACCTACTGACTGTTGGTGGACACGGACACCTATCAACTGTTGGTGGACACGGACACCTACCAACTGTTGGTGGACACGGACACCTACCGACTGTTGGTGGACACGGACACCTACCGACTGTTGGTGGACACGGACACCTACTATTACTTGTTGCTACTCTTATTGTTGTTGCTAGTACTGTTGTTGCTGTTGCTGCTCTTTCTGTTGTTGCTACTGTTGTTTTTGTTGCTACTACTGCTGTTATTGTTGCTGCTCCTGTTTCTGTTGTGATGAATGGTTTTGAAAACCGACAAGTTGAAGAATTCAGACACTTATGCAACATATGGGAATCTTTATTGAGGAAACGTTTCGCCACACAGTGGCTTCATCAGTCCAATACAAAGCATGAAGGAGAGGAGGAGTTTGAGGTAATCAGTCCCTCAGCCTGAAGTCGATGTGTTCAGTCCATCAATCTTGTAGAATGTACAGCACTGGGCCGTAGACGTGGCTTATATACAAGATTGATTAACTGAACACATCGACTTCACGCTGAGGGACTGATTACCTCAAACTCCTCCTCTCCTTCATGCTTTGTATTGGACTGATGAAGCCACTGTGTGGCGAAACGTTTCCTCAATAAAGATTCCCATATGTTGCATAAGTGTCTGAATTCTTCATCGTGTTTCTGTTGTTGTTGTTTTTGTTGCTACTACTGTTGTTATTGTTGCTGTTTCTGTTGCTTCTACTGTTGTTATTGTTGCTGTTTCTGTTGCTTCTACTGTTGTTGCTACTACTGTTGTTATTGTTACTGTTTTTGTTGCTTCTACTGTTGTTGCTACTACTGCTGTTATTGTTGCTGTTTCTGTTGCTTCTACTGTTGTTGCTACTACTGCTGTTATTGTTGCTGTTTCTGTTGCTTCTACTGTTGTTGCTACTACTGTTGTTATTGTTGCTGTTTCTGTTGCTGTTGTTGCTACTGTTGTTATTATTGCTGTTTCTGTTGCTACTACTGTTGCTGTTGTTCCTGCTTCGTGTAAAACATGGAAAGAGAAGAAGAATAAGAAGGAAGAGCAGCAGAATAAAGAAGGGAATAGAAGGAAGACAAGGAAACGAGAAGAAAAGGCAAGGTGAGAGGGAAAAAATAAAGAATGGAGGGAAGGAAGGAAGGCGAGAGGAAAGGAGAAGTAAAGAGGAGGAAGAGGCAAGAATCATGTGAGTTGGACGGTCACAAGGGACACCAACACACTCTGTTGCAATGAGATCTTCGACCTTAAGGGCCCTCCTGGAGTGGCTTTATCTTCCTCTGAAAATTTATAATGAAATGTCTTACGTCAGACTAGCTTTATTATTGTCTGGCTTTATTATTGTCTGGCTTTATTATTGTCTGGCTTTATTATTGTCTGGCTTTATTA